CTACGTTACCGCATTCTGCTCACAGTTTACGAAAAACGTATTTTTTGTGTCTCTACTGCAATGAAATTAAAAATTAGATCCTGAGTTGTTAAGATTAAATCATATAAAACGTTAAAATAAAGAATATTTTTACAAGAAGAATGTGAATTATTAATTATTGAAGAATCAATTATTATTAAAAATTGAAACATTTTGTGCAAAAAAACTACACTTGTTTTAGAATAGACAGGTAATTAAAAAAATGTAAGATTACAGCTACCTACTATTAGCTCATTTAAAGTTATTAAATTTTACAAACACAATCTGCTTAGTATTGTGTAAAATATCAGTTATGTTACGTGCCGAAGAAAACGAATTGAGAAATAAACTGGGCGATGAATAAGCTCCCCGTTGAAAATGTCCAACAAAAGGGAAGCTTATACAATTGTTAGTGAGGTTACGGTTTAACAGATTCACTCTCACTCATACGGTTATGTAGCATGACTTGTAAATAACTTCCACTCCACTTTACACAACAATAATGTTTTCAAGTATTAGATAAAAGAGAAAAATAATAATTTACTAAATTAAGTATTCCTATTTTGTAATAAATAATCTTATCTATAATATATTTATATTATTATCTATCTATTAAGTAATTCTTATTTTTATGTATGAGATACCAGGTATTGTAAAATATCGAGAAGTTTTGTAAATTTCGTCATAAATAAATTACTTTAAAACTTTACGACACAATTATCATTCAATGATCAGCCAATGATTTTCTAGTAGGTAGTATATAATACGAAAATAGCTCAAGGAAACCGGCTGTTTTATTGAATCTTGGTATCAACTATGAGATCCTTGACTACTTCGAAACCCAAAGAGATACATCGATTAAAAATAAAACGTAAAAAATAATATTTATTATTTTCGGTGCAATAATATTTTTGCTTTCTCACTAGAAGATATCTGAAAGATCTGTATTCGTGCGGGAGGTTAAAAACATTATTAATATTAATTTCTACTCGCGTTCTACATTTTGGATATCAACGAACAAATTTGGTTTCGACGGTATTGTCTTGTATGGTCTATTGTCAAACCCATATCCGTTGATCCAATTTTCATGACGTTTACAGGAATTGTGCGGGTTTGGTATCTTTTTAGTCTTAGATCGATTTCATCAAATATCATCTTCTACTTCGGCTTGCGGATGCATTAACGTATATGATACATCTATCTATCAAAAAAATGACTCATCCGATGCAGTTTTCGCGGTGAAGAAATTTTTTAGAATAGAATAGAAAATAACTTTATTCTGGGACAGAGTCCCTTGAGAATAACAAAATAGAACAAAATTAAAATATTACATCTGGCCAAAATAAAATCAATCGAAAAAAAGAAATAATGTAAAAAAAATGAAGGTAAAAATTCTATATACGAAACAAACGAAACTATATACAAAACGTCGGCATATGTAAAAATAAATATTATCATTTATTTTTGCCTTCTTTTTTGACTGACCACCCCAACTATTCTTCTCTTCATTATATACAAAACAATTAATACTATGACAAGACACTTAAAGCTATTTGCACTGATAGACCAGTATACACTTTTAAGAAAATAATAAAGAATTAAAAATAAAAATATATCAAATTCTCTATCAAAATCAACTCGAATGGTTAGCAACTATCTGACTATTTTTGGGATAGAAATCGGAATAGGAGGGTTTTGAATGTGGATATGGATGGGGAATGTCGAATTTTGATAGGGAGAGAATTCCAGAAATTGACAGAGCGAACAATAAAGGAATTTTGAAATGAGGCAGATCTGTGAAAAGGCATGTAAAGGTTGGAAGGTCGAGATCTTGTGGACAGGGAATGGACTGAAGATTTGAACTGGAGAAGGTTGTAGGCGTAAGAAGGACGATGGCTGTTGATGATTTGGTAGAGGAACGTACCTAGGAAATATTGTCTTCGGAAGGAGGGGAAGAGCCACTTTAACTCAGCGTAGTGGTGAGAAACATGGGAGTATCTTGGGGCCCCGATCACAAATCTTACGCAGTTGTTCATTAGTCTTTTCAGTCTATCACGGAGCTCCACAGAGAGGCCATCATACACCACACAGCTATAGTCAAAGTGGGGGAAAATTATTTTTATTAATTGATTTGTGACACCAAGTCTGAGATTTGACGTACAACAAGATATTTCAAAAATTTTACACAAGAAAAATACAGAAAAGAAAAATAATGTGAAGGTTTGTTTTATTTGTCCATTAATGCCCTTAGAAAGGAGGCCTGCTTTTAATGTATGCTTCTAAGAAGTGATATATATTTCTATAAACTAAAATATAAACTTTTGGAAATTACGTGGACCAAACTATTGCAGATATTCATAGTTTATTAATTTTTTTTTATGTTCACATTAATTCATACAAATAAAAATACATGTATGTAAATAAATTTGAAGTTTTATTGTACACATAAACCGTTCCCCTTAAGTATAACATAATGTTAAAGGTTATTTTTGTAAATGTTGTAAATTTTGCCATGAAATATTTGTATTGTATTACACATTTGCGAAAAAATAATTGCTCATGTCGGTTTTATTTATATTTTTTTATTATTTCATTTTATTAGCTTTTTATGAAAATCTGTTCCTACTTATAACCATTTGCGTTGCTAAGAAAATGTTTTGCTGGAGATACCTATTAATGTCCAACTTTATTACTTGCAATTAGATTACAAGGGTTGTTGTTTTCATACCAGAACTGAATATATGTTTTATTGTTTATTCTTTGAACTGAATTACAATAAAGTCATTTTTATATTCAGAAGAGTCAGTTTATAACTAATGTTTAACAGAATATCTATAATTCCATTTATATTTCTAGAATTATTGCGAATACAGTTCAAAGAATATTTTGATACTTTCATTTCAAACTAGTTAATAACTGTGCTTTAATTTTACACTTCTAATCATATAATAGTGCATCATCACAATCATTAATTAATATTTAATATTTTGGAAATGAAAAACCATCTTCTAAAAAAAATTGCTGTCATTTAACAATATATCAGACCAAGTTTAGTAAAAAATATTTCCACTGCTGAAATGAATGCTGATCAATCGAATTCAACTAGTTGATATATTTCTCCCGATTACGCAGCTCCAATAATGTGTCCGTCATCATATTACAGTTCCTCGAATCAGCAAAGATATTTATACAATCGCAAAATGCTTGGATGCAACTATTGTCTATTTTTCGAATTTCCGTCGACGATCACATAAAGGACTATTAAAAAATCACAGATTAAGAGTGTAACTCATTCATTAATGATTTTCTTATGTGTTATGTGTAAAAAACATGTTAATATACTGGAAATTATATTGGAGTCTTTACGGCTATTACCTCTCCTCCTCCCTTCTAATAGTGTAAACAAATTTTTTTTTTCATTGTTTGTTTCTATAAGTAATCTAAGCTAAATACTTAAATAATCACAGTATGTTCGGCTTTTAAAGTATAGTGCATATATTTCAGCTACTGTATGTAAGCACATGTCAAAAAAGATATAAAAATTTTATCACAAAAAGCATTATTTTAATTACAATTACTATTATTAGAAGAAAGAAAAGAGTTTCTACAATACAATCAATAATAAAAGTGTATACAGAATCCTCTACTCTGTATACACATCTGATGTCCCTGAGCACCGTAACACCACCATTTATTGCTTTGCTGATCACACTGCTATTCTAACATCACACAAAAATCCTACTGTCGCATCAATTGCACTAAAAAACCATCTTCATGATCTTGAAAAGTTGTTTGGGAACTGGAAAATAAAAATAAATAGTAATAAATCCACCCACGTTAATTTCTATCTTAGAAAAGCCTCATGTCCGCCCATAATTATTGCCAACAACAATCCAGTGCCTTCAAAGAACTATGTACGGTACCTTGGACTCTACTTAGATAAAAGACTTACTTGGAACATATATACGAAATTAAAAAGACAAGAACTTACTAGACGATATAGCCAACTTTCACATCTTCTGAACTACAGATCTTCACTTAACTTACGAAACAAGCGACTGATCTACAACATCTTACTGAGACCAATATGGACATATGGAGCAGAACTTCGGGGTTCAGCAAAACAAACACACATAAACAAAATACAAACAGCACAATCAAAAATTCTACGAAAAATTGTTAACGCACCTTGGTACATTTCAAATACTACTATAAATAACGACTTAAACACCCCAACAGTAAAATCCTACATCCACGACAAATACACTACATTTCATTCTTCAACCCAAAATCACTCTAATCATCTAGTTCTTTCTATCTCCTGCTCCCTGTTACCTGAACAACGCAGATTAAGTAGAAAATGGCCAAGAGACCTACTACATCAATAAAAACCAAATCAAGAAAAAACACCAAGACTGTACAAACACTACAAATTTGCTAGATGCGCAACCGCGCAGGTGCAAATAGCATAAAATATAAATAAATAAATAAAAATTTGCTAATTGTAAATTGAGATATTTTGCCAGATTCGATTCCTAATTTTTAGGAGGGAGTAGGGACAGGTCAGGCCACACAGGTCTGGTTCTGGCCAAACAACCCCTCAGTTATTCCCTGACTAATGCCAAGTTCACATTCTGACCAAGTCCTCTGGTTATCTCTCCAGAAAAAGCAAATGTTTTCCAAGCCATTCTGGGATTAGAATCGAGTTTGTTTAATACAAATCGTCACAGGCATTGGTTCTTTCCACTTGACTACTTCGGTCGATTCAGGTAAATGTTTCTTAGGTCGATTACTGAAACTAATTGGATGATTGCTTTTGTTTTTTCCTGTTGTCCTCATTATTGCTGATCACTTGCTGGTTACATAGCTCCATTACGTAATTGGTTTTCGTTGCATATTCAGATGCTTCTGTTTACCGTTCAATACCGGAACGAGGTGTGGCAACCTTCTTTTGATAAAAATTACCGTAGGCAGAGCGTAGGATGGCGTTGCACAGGATCCTCCTGTTATTGTGGGGTCTTCCCATTGGCTACGTCATCTCTCTGCCTCAATTGAAGGTCGGGGTCACTTTGATTCATCGATCATCCATGGGTATTGAGCATATGGCCCCGTCACTTTCCTCTGGCTTTCACATCCATTGTTCAATATATATACTTCAAACAATTCTACCATATTTTTTAGACAAATTGTGCATTATTTCATAAACTTTAGGATAAAGAGTACCCTCTGTAATATGTACGTACCAAGAGAACTTATGAAATCCACATGTAGCCCATACAATCCTTAATTTTGAATTCACCATTTTGAAACCTAGCAATAAAAGACGTATACCAAACTTAATCATAAATCAATCCCTTCTCCCTCTGTTATTCAAATTAGAGCTGGAGACTAAAAAAACACTCTTATTTTATTTCTCATTAAACTATTCTTAGCCTACCAATGAGGAAATTCTCAGTTTCTAAAAATATTGGCGAAATGGCTCTAAAATGTTAATGGCTTCCTCCTTTCCTCCTCTACTCCCTCTTCCCTCCCCCATCAATCCTTAAAATAAGTTAATTTTCTCATTAATGTTAAGTAACCTATAAAAAAAGGCGTATAAATGGTATGGAATAAAAAATCTATACAGTTTAATTTCCAATCACTGGACTTTTATTGCTGGTTATCATTAAAATTAGGCACTAGAGGCAGTAGCGGCACAGGTTTTTCGGCCTCCTAGAAAGGAAAGTCCGGATGGTAATAGCGAGTTCCGGGGATCATCCTCGGGTGATCTGTGACACTGATATCAACTCAAAACAATCTGTCAAGTAGGGTCTAAGAAAACCCGCTTAGAGCATACTACGTATGGCGGACGACGGACCGATGATTTTTTTTCTTTTATTCGATTTTCGAATTATACATATCTTAGAACATAAAATCTCAAATTTGAAGAGGGAGTTAACTTTTTTATCTTAGACTATTACAAAAGTTGATAACATTATTGAAATCAATAAATCCCAAATCATTGAAAGCTAGTTACGCAATAGATATTAAATATATAACCATTAGGTAATAATTTGCAAAAGCTTGTATTTCTCTATTTAACATAAATGAAACAATTTAATCCTTTTTTATCTTTTTCCGATTAAAAATAAGAGGGAAATAGGATCACAGTGACAGACTTTTTATTTTTATTTTGAGCTCAAATTGTTTGAACATTTTTAAGGAATATGACTGAATAATTTGAACCATCAAACATGAGGAGGGTTGTGCTAAACAAACGAAACTCCAGCCAGGGATGCCCAGAAGGGAGTTTCATGGCGCCATCAAAATTTTTGAGGAAGGCACATTTTGACGGGGTTTTGATTTTTTTAAATAAAAAGTTTCAAACCAGGCAACAAGAGGAAAACATAGACTAGCCCACTGAAAGTTTAATTTTATATGAGCAACGAATTTAAACTTCTACATTTGCTTGCACTGTTGTTGAGAAGAGAGCATTAAAATTTCTTGAGAGGAAAGGGGAGTTCAAGCGCCATTGACCATAGCGGGAATGGGAACCCCTAACTTCAGCGATCAGTACCTTTAATCAACCTTTGTAATCGATTAGCATAAGAAAAGAAAAATTAATTCCCTCTCCAAATTTGAGTTTTTGCGTTTCAAGGTATGTAGAATCCGATAATCGAATAAAAAAAAAACAGCCCATAGGAGTGTTTTAAGGGAAATTTCAAGTTACGCCGTCAATTTTTGAAGAGAGCTCATTCCAATGGTTTTTTTTGTCATTTTTCAAAATGAAAAGTTTCAAACCAGGGGAGTAGAGAAGATGGAACAGACAACAGCAAGTGTAGTTGTATATCATCTCAGATTATTTAAAATCTACTTCCACCTGTATTTTTTTTAAGAATATGTGATCAATAAAACATCTCCAGAGAGGAGGGAGGTTTTATTCGAGGCGCCATCTGCTTATGGGGACAACGAGCACCCCTGTGTAACCCTGCGATAATCGACTAAACAGTGTTACTTTTTTTAGTTTTTAGACCATTTCGTCACTGCAAAAGCAAAATCACAATTTTGTAAACTTTTTAAGGGAGATAGAAATAGAAGTAAATTTGTATTCATATAATTAAATTGATTTAATAAACCTTTATAATTTTGTTAAAGTGGAGTTTTGGAATAATAATTTTGGAAATATTTCAATTTCATCAATAAGGTGACCAGACGTTCGATTTTGGCGGGACAGCCCCGATTTTTAACAATTTGTCCCGTGTCCCTCGGCGTTTTAAAAGTCGCGATTTTTGGGAAGAATGCACAAGCCAGTGCATGAGTTTATATTATATAAAATTAATTATTGTAACTACTTATTTGGACCATCCTCTCCTCCGTCTCCCCTCTGGTCAATGGTATCTAGCTTTGCCAATGTTAAAATTTAGTCAACATATTCTAGAATAACAATTTCCTCATTAGAAAATAGAACGATGTCATGAGTAATAGGTTATGTATAATCTATTTAGTATTTTATCTTATTGTGCAGTGGATAATCTTTTCATCGATTGAAAACTAATTAATGATCCCATGCCAAATTGGAAGGTGTTTTACATTTAAATTGATATATTCCTTTTCATATGACTAAAGAAACTATATTATTTTCGATTGAATACAATAAATGTTTAATGTTGCAATTTGCAGATGGTGGCACTCCCACGACAGCAGCTATTTATACATGGTCTTTGACTATGTACCAGGTGGTGAGCTCTTCTCCTACCTCAGGAACGCTGGCCGGTTTCCAACCTCTACAGGTAATCAATGGTATTTTAATAGCTTTCTTTCCATCTCTACGTCTGCCATTATGTACTTTGGCAATTAAATATAAATAAATCAAATCCTTGCATCATTTACATTTCACTTTCAGCTATTGACTGACACGTTTATACCACTAATAGATATGTACAATTCATATGAACTATACACGAGTACAGTATATATGCATATATATAAACATATACCTACATAAATATGAAATCTAAGTTGCAAACAAACTTTAATTTTAACCCTATTCATCATGAAGAAGAAAATTATTTTCTTATGGCTTGTTAGTTGTTTGTGTCTAACATCGTTTGTACTCCCATTCCAAGGGAGTATGCATGCGATTTTCTACACATCACTAATAAATTTCAACCCGGGAGAGGATTTCGAGATATTTAACTAGGCGTAGCTGAATCGTATCGTTTTTCTAGATAACTCTGAAACTTAAAATAACTGCAGTTAGAAACTGCAGAATATATTTATTTAAGTGTCGCAGAGATATTGAAAACCGAAATGAATTTACTTTTTATTTGAGTAAAATACTAGTTAAAATTGGTAAATAAATATTTGAAGAAATTTATTGATAGAACTGAATGATTTTTACTTTAACTGCTTCGTGTGTTATTACTACGCTAATATAACATGGACCAGAAAATCGCAAAGCACTAATTCGACACAGATATGAAAATGGCTCCGCCAGTTGTATATTAATCTATATTGGTTTGAACTAAATATTCGAGCGCTGAAATATTCCAATCCTTGAGATTGATTCACAACCATGGTGTAATTTTTTAACAGATTTTTCATTAGGCCGTAAATTACCAAAATAGTCTGGTGGTATTACCTTTTGTTATTTTTCAACAGTTTGATTACCAGATTTCGTTTTCATTGTTTGTGGACTACTTATTAAAGATTTAATGAATGCAATGCCATAAAATGAGGTCCAAATTTAACACATCAAAGGAAGTAATTCGTTCATTTTAACAACGATAACGTTGCCAATGCAAGCAGGCCAAATTCGTGCAAATAATCTAAATCAGTAGGTTATCAACAAATATTCGAAATAATGATATCTTTTTAAAATATTGGTTTGAAAAGATAAGAACAAAAAAATATTGCCGATAACATAAACTTAAATATAAATTTAGTCTATAATAATACAACTTATAAATTAAATCTAAAAAACCAATTATATTCTATCAGTTGTAACATGCTGATTCTTAAGTTTGAGAGACTACAAAAACACCTTTTGGCAGCTATTTCGCCTCACCTATTTTGTGTTGTTTCAAAAGTTGACTACCTCAGATTTCACTAGAATATTAAAATACTAACAGTGTGCCCACTTTACAGCTGCCACAACCAATACAATGCATGATCTTAGACCTAACTTCTTAACTATCATATTTACTGGTTATTGTATTTTAATATTTATTCACTTATGTCTTGACTAATTAAATACTTCTTAAAGAGTATTCTTAACTATTTAAAACAGAATAAATATTATTCTACTCCTTCCTACCAGGTGCACTGCATCAGAAATTGCTCCTTTTCGTCATCCTTCTTCTTTATTAGGCTTTGCAGTTTGATAATGGAGGATGACAAGGAAATTATCTTACGATTATTTATTTTAAGTTTTTTTTTCATTGTATTTCTTGAATTATATCTTATTGACTGAAAATGTCTGAATCCCTTCTCTCTCCTTCCCCTCTTCTACCTCACCACTATTTACTGAAGCTGTAACCACTTCGGCTCATGGAAAGAGATCCCTCAACATATTTATAATTTTATTCCACCTACATTGTTGATAAATATATCGTTTCACCTTCAACATTTTCGACAAATGTATTTATAACAATTTGGAAATAAATATCATTGAAATGACCAAGTTAATGCTAAAATTCCTCGATGAGTCTGAGTTCCCTTATAATGTTTTCTTATTGAAGGTTCATTCATTTTTTCATAAAGGATTGGGTAGCATAGTCTTCCATAAAAAAAAAAAATAATAATAATAACTCAGTAAGAAGCTCAATTTTCCTCACAACTCAACTCAAGTCAACGATACTTTCTTATCTAGTTGTTTTTATAACTACTTTTTCATCCCAAAGTATCAGCCATTTGGACAAAAAAACAAAACACGGGTCTTATTTCTATCGGTATTCTACTCCATTTCCGTGTGCTGCATGGTTTTAAAATTATCCATTGATTGAAAATAACGTTGTTTAGGCAACATTTACAATTATGGCGAAATAACTCTCATGAGTTTCAATAAGGCAACATTCTAAATTTTATGGTAACATGCTTGTTTTTAAGCAGTGGACTGTATCTTAAGCGATTGGTAGGTTAATGATTGTGCAAAAAAATAGGTTACCGCCTATGTGCCAGCCTACATCTCTTTTACCTAGGAGGGCCCTCCGCCGCCGGTTCTTGCTGGTTCAATGCTGGCTGACCAAGTAGTGGCTTCCAGGCTTCGAGTCTCTCTCAAAGCTTAAGTGTAATCTTTTATCTTTTAGATCTGCCCCCACCACTCGCCGTAACGCGGCAAATTTTAATGAAAACCATTCTTTGGCCAACCAAACGTATTGAGGTAAGTTACTTTATTGTAATACGTTTATTGAGCTATTGTATCGGCCGCTTCCCTCTGGCTGAAGTGGAACTCAAAGACAAGAAGTCCTCTAGCTTACAGCTATTACAGCGGGTTTTCTCGCCTTGGTTGTTCTTGATGATTGGTCTACCTTGGTTGATTTACTCTCTTACCAAAAAAGCTCCCTTCTGAATTTTTCAAAAGTCAATTTGAGAAGCTTTATTTTGTCCACTCCAATTTTGTGTATTTATTTTTCTACCATCTCGCTTTGGATAAGGAAAACGCTACGAAAAAATCAGGGTGTCGATATACTTATTCTCTCAGCTGGTCTATGAAGTCGTTCAAGTAAGAAAAGCCTTTGAAGTGAAGTAGTTATAGTAGCTGGCGGAGTAGTTATTGTTGATGGCATCCTAGATGATAATAAAAAAAAAAAAATAGATGATACCTGATATTTAAAAGATTTATATAAAGTCACTAGCGCCATTACTAAAGAAATATTATGAGGTAAGCAAGGTTAGAACGACATAGATAATGTACTCTAGGTATCAGTTTATTACCTACAATAAAATGTAATGAACTCATTCAAGTTATTTTTTTAGTATATGAGTGTGAAAAATTGTAAAATAATTGACACTATAATCCCCTTCATATTGCATATTGTGAAAATATTGCATTTTATTAGCTTTAGCACAGTGCTGTTAAAAGTACTACACGATTACTTTTGGCAATGTAAAAACTCATTACTTACTTAGATCTCTTTATCGTCAAGTGCATCATTAAGTATATCTGAGACCGTGACGGCTAAGATTGTTAAGGCGTAGTAAACTTATCAACCTCGAGCCTAGCGGCGCCGGTTCCAGCCTAGGCAGGCTGAAGTTTACTTTGTGGCGGACTTAGGGAATGAATCTCGACCTCCCCATTCTGATTAGAGTAGGTTGGTTACCCCTACAATAACCACAAAGGCTCCCCCTATATCAGACTAAGTAGGTTGTAAAAAAAAAGTCCATTTATTCCTCTAATGTTAATTTTTGCACTCGACAAAATTTACAATTACAGGTTAGAAAAATGTTGTGTTCCATAAAATATTAATTGATATAATGCGTTGATGATCTTCAACCGACCAATCACCAAAATCTTTTTTAAAAAACAGTAATTTTTCATTTTGGCGTTACTTCCTTTCATTACTTTTTTTTCATATTCATTACTTCTAAATCATAATTTCTTGAAAGTCCGTCCATTGGGTATTTTTAGGTATTTTTTAAAAATAACTTAGTGTCATTTTTATAAAAACCATAATATAGCACAAAATCATTAAACATTTTACTTAAAAATCAGAAACGATATTTGTTTATATCAATTTATATTAAAATCGACCAAATAAATGATAATTTATGTCAACATTTACTTGCTATACAATATATTGTATTAAAATGTAAAATGCCGATTTATTGCTGGCAGATCACTTTCCATTTCCATACTAACCATAAATCGAAATTTTATAACAGTCCCTGTTTACAATACTTTTAGAGTAGAAATAATCTGAAAAAAAAAACATTAAAGCTCTTTTTAAATACAATTCAATTTTACTTTTCAAATATAATAATTTATTTGAGTTCTACCAATGGGTAGTTTCTCTTCATGTTGTACATGTCATGTTACCAATGTCACATTTACTTGTTGTATTTCTCATGTAATACAGTTGTAAATTTCAATAAAATAAAAAATAAAATAAATAAATAAAAATATATAATAATTTTATATTTTAAAAAATAATAATAAGATTAAAAAAAGAAATATCTAACTAGATGGCAGGAACGGGCCATACTAACGGAAGAAAATTTATAAATATTGAAAAGTTTTATCAAGTCTTATCGATATTATAAATAAAGCGTCAGAATTTATTAAGTTGGGAGCAATAAAAGGCAGATAAAGTTAACGCCTGTGTCTGCTCTCCCTATCTTACATTAGACTTTATATATCTAACCCCATCCAGTAGATATATTACGGCCTTCATTCACAAAACCGTCTTCGTTCTAAGACAGGTTTGAAAAGTGTATTATATTTATTTTTTTAATAAATTCTGATTAACATTGAAATTTGAAGCACGTGCTATAAAGATACTGCGTCAATATATTGCGTTTTATGTATTTGTTCTTTATTTTTCTTTCTGTCATGAATTTTTTTTTTTTTTTTTTTTATTGAAAAATATTACAATCTGTCTCTAGGACATATGAAATTCAAATCAGTATTTTTTTAAAAGTTTCTGAGTGTAAAAGTATATACTTTTACATTCAGAAACTTTTTTAAAAAATACTGATTTTTTTTAGTAGCGAAGTAGTTATAGTAGCTGGCGGTCTTTTTGTTGATGGCATCCTAGATGATAATAATTTAGTTCCATACAGATAAATAAAT